CAATAACAGAATACATATCATCTTCATTGTCATACCTATCACTAACAACATTTACAGATTTTCTCTTTTCTTCAATGTGCTTTGTCAGTTCTTCACAGTTTCTCCTAATATGCCACTTCTTATGATAGTAGTAGCACTCAATATCCTTCATTAGTCGAGATTGGGAATGATCATCTCTTTTATCATAACATCTTCCCCGTGACTTACTCCTACCCCTATTTGAATCTGACTTAGCCACTAAAACTTGTTCAGTATGAAACGTACTACTTGGCTTCTTCATATTTGCAGTCTCTAACAGAGTAGTCGACACCTCATCCACAGTCAACGCTGTCTTTTCAACTAAAACTATAGTCACCAAAGTCTCATATAATTTGGGCGGGGAGACCAATAAAATTACCGCTTTATCTTCTTCATCAATTTTGACCTCTACACTTAATAATTGAGTTATGTACTTATTAAAATTATTTATATGGTCCCTAACATCACTTTCTTCATCCATCTTCTACTCATACAATTGTTTATTCATATATAGTCTATTTGTTAGGAATTTCAACATATAAACTTTTTCTAATTTTTCCATAACTCAGATGGAGATGTCTAATTCATAACACTACATTTTAGTTCAGCAGCTAAACTTAAACGAATACTGCTTACCGCTTTCGATTCCAATTCTTTCCAATCTTAATCTTTCATATTTTCTGGCTTTTTTCCTTCCAACGCTTTCAATAGTCCTTATCGAATCACAACATCTTTTCTTGTACTCTCCCAGATGCTGAAATTACTCTTTCCATCAAACCGTTCTGCTCAAACTTTATCCCGGACATCATCTTTACTTTTTTTTTTCTTTTAATCTTCACCACAGCTCTGATACCAATTGTTGGGGAAGAACACATCCCTACTACACTCACGCAGCAGAAAAATAAACTGAAACAAAAATAACAGAAAAATAGAGATGATAAAGATTTAGGTGGTTCGGAAAAATTTTATACGTTCACGTAAGAGGGAGAAAAATTCACTAATAGTTTTAAGAATTACACTCAATAAACTTTTTCACTTTCTCTCTACACCCAAAACCCCATACACACTTTGTCTATATCTCTTCTCACTTTCTCTCGCTCTTAAAAGGAAGCATTTTTTCTTTGCATTTTTCTCTAAACACACATAAAACCTTACACAAAATACTTATTTATAGACTCCTAATAAATCATAAAATAACCCGTGCTCAAAAATTGAAAATAATAACTTACCCAAAAAACACAAAATATTAATTTTCTCAAAATTAATTTGAGTCACTTACATGGTATATAAATACAAATCTTACTCAAAAAAAAAAAAAAAACAAATATTAAGTGGTCCATTCTCTGTAAGCTATTTTGATTTAAGTTTTCTTGGTGTGACTACTTTTCTTAAGAACGCAATGAACGGAGTTAAAATTGATTGGTTCTAAAGGTTTTTATTTTTTTAATTATTGATGAGAGAAGGTATAGTTGATGTCAGGAATTGTTAGAACATCTCAATTAAATTGGCATTCTATAACAGTTTCATTCGATATGCCCAAACTGTTCACTCTATATTATTAATATGATTGGGTTTTAAGTATGAATAAAGATAGTCGATGATTTTTTCCACCGATCCCTCCATATATATTTAAGAAAGATTAAAATTGATATTTTTTTTTAAGTATTTGAAATTTTTTATCAATTACTATGAGTAAAAAATCCTTACACTAATCTTCTTACTCGCATCGTTTCTTAGCTTTTCCTCCCACCCAACAAGCTCTTAAAATTCGAGCTGAGTACCCTAAAAACTTGCCTAATTTATGCTTATTGCCGTATCTGTTAGTTATCGGCTGTACTAATTGATTCAGTACTTTCTATCCATTTCATGTTCCAAAAGTAGCTGTACTACTCATTCCTTTTTTTTTTTTTTTTTTTTTTTTTTTTTTTGTGGAGCAAAAGAACTTTTCCTTACAGATAACGGTCGTGTTATAAGGTATGAAACATAGGGCAAAGACAAGAGATGAATGAGATTCTTCATGTTGGAAGAAAAATACCAAGATCATTAGTAAGAAAAGAAGCGATATGCAAAAATGCCACAGTCGGCGGATCAATGATATGTACCTACATAAGCTCTTATGACCACCTGAAGCAGAAGCAGTCCGAAGCCAAAAATAAAAAAATAAAAAAAAAAGTTATGTTCTGTTGTATCTCATGTCATCTTTTTTTTTTCCCCTATATAAAAATGAAATTATTGATATCATTTTATCCTCATCTTCTTATTTTTGGGGCCCGCTAATTGAAAGGAAATAAATCTATTCAGGCATCGTTCTTTTTATCGATTTAAATTTTTAATTTTAAGTTTTTACAGTAAAATTTTTTTAAAAAATATCATATTTAATTTTTTCTGTTACAGTAAAAAATTATTAAAAAATATTATATTTTAACTTAAATTAAAAATTTAAATTTACAAAATAAACGATAACTTAATTTACTTAAAAGATGAACTCAATTTATACTTATATTATCATAACACACTCAACGCTGTGTAATATATTAATCGAATAAAGGTCTTAAATAGTGCAATGAAACACAGAACCTGAGCACGTCTTAAAAGGAGAAAAAAGAATCATTACCGCTACAGTAACTCATTGGTGGCATCTCATTACTCATATTATCTTTCTCTGGGTATCTCATTTTTATTTTCTCAATCCTGTTGTCCCATCAGTTTCATGAGGATGGTGAGACTTTTCAATATGTACTGTCTATGCCCCGTCACCAGTATACATGATGTCTACTCAAGCAGCTTTTCATGCCTGTCCAAATTTGGCAAATTGACATCTACTTTACTCTTAAGTGTCAAAGGCCCAATAATTTTCTGTCTTACGTCGAATAGCAAATAGTGTGATTGTGTCACCATAGATACGTTTTGATTCATAAATTAAAATTATGTTATTCGAATTATTTTTTATTTATGTATATTTTTTATAAAAAAAAATATTATAATAAATTATTAACTATAATTTAAATTATAATTTAAATTTTTTAACTAAACATCTTCTTATTTTTAACGTATTATGAATATTCACATTCTAACTTAATCTTTAATTTATACGAGGAAATATAAGACTTTTATGGTAGGATTTAAAAAAAAATAAATTATTAATAGATCTTTATTATTAATAGTTAGATTTATATTAAAAATTTTATATATTTTTTTATTTTGATATGATTTTAATAAAATTTTAACTATAAAAAGACACTATTCGTATGGAGCTTATCATAAAAGCACTTGAGAAATATAAGCCCGTTTGGTTGAAGGATTCGTTCTCTGATTTAAATCATAGTTCATGGTTTGTTATAATATTTTCTCTCACAAAAAATACACATAAATTAAAAATAAATCTAATCTCATAGTTTTAATCTATGAACCAAACAGACTCACTATTTAAACTTTTTGAGATAAAGTAGGCAGTACATGTTTATAAATGTTTGATTTGATAAAAATCACATCAAAATAAATAAACAAAAAAAGTATATGACATAATTTGATATAGATCTAACAATACAAAATACCAATTGTACGATAGCTTTCATCCCCTATAGAAACTATTAGTCAGGTCATGAATTTGAAGTGACACAGGTCAGATTGAGTAATAGAGAATTCGACATGTTGGCAAGTAGATATAACGGAAGAAATTGTTTGATGGAGACAACATGTAGAGCAGAAAGACCATGGAGATACATGTTTAAAAAATTTTAAGATTATTCATTTTCTTAATTTAAGTTTAGAATTTAAATTTTATTATAATAAAAAAAATTTAAAAATAATCATATTTAATTTTTTTATTATAATAAAAAATTATTATATAAAATCATATCTAAATTTAAATTAAAAACTTAAATTAACAAATTAAATAGATTTTAAGATATGAGGACAATGAAATCTGGGTTAGATTGTTGGGGCGCATTATTGAAAATTGCTTGATTGGATTAGTTGTCTACATTGTGAAACTGGAGTGAGAAAAATTCATAGTCGCCGTATTATTGTTCAGGATCTCAATTGTATATTACAAGTTGGACCACCAAAATTTCAAAGCTTCTTAGTTGTCTACATCCCTCCAAAACTGAATTACACCTGCCCAGATTTCCCCAACAATATGCATTTAATCTTTGATGGCGTGACTGCATTTATAGCTTTCCAAAGAAAGATACTGCTATATCTGTTACTGGTCTGAGTGTCACTAAGCTTCCTATTTCGTGCAATTTATGAACTTGAATCTTTTATGCATCACTTTTTCTTTTTTTCATTTTTTTTATTTCTCTAGTAGGCGCTGAAAAATGAACCACCGTAAAGGCTTTGTTTGCGGCCATTAAACATATATTAAAAATTGTATGTTATGCATATTTTTTAATTTGATGTGATTTTAACCAAAAAGACTTTTTACTTAGAATGTCCAAATTTCATTCATTGAATTATGAAATATATATATATATATATGAACAAATTTTTAATGGTACATTCTAAGTAAAAAAATTATTTGACATAATAAGAATCCAATCCCATTAATTTTTTTATAGATTTATCAAGTATAAAAATTTAATTATTTGACGTGATAAAAATATAATCCTATTATTTTTTTAACCAACTATTTAATTTATGACAACTATCAAATTAATAATTTACAGTTAAAACAAAGATAACCACTAATAAATAAATATTGAAGAAACCGTTACCGGATCATTGCAAAAAAAGATGTTATCTTTTAGCTCAAATATTTCAACAAATCAAATCGTTTCTTTCCATCATTTAGTTGTTAAAATTTAGACCGCATGGTACATGATTTTTGGAATGTACCATAGTTTTTGCAATAAAGATGACAACCATCTGCGACTTCCAAGTTCCACCGATAGAGATCACCAAACCAAGAAAAAGAAAAACCACATAAAGTTTCAGATCAAAAGAAAATTTTCTCAACAGAAAGGAAACAGTATAATGCCTTCTTATTATCACTTCACAAGGGTAAGGAATGAAGAGGCCTTATGGCCCCAAACAAACTATTTACATTTGTGATAAAGATTCATCAGTTTTTCAACCAGGAATGCGCGGCCTGACTTCAGTTACCGGTCATTCAGATTTCAGACTGGAATTATAAAATATTTTCCTGAATCCTGTGTATGGTCTACCTGTAATCGATTTGAAGATTTGAGTAGACAAGCTTCACAACTTCTGATTCAACCATACTTGAAGAATCTGAGAATCCTGCAATCGAAAACCAGTCAGAACGAACACCCCGGCCTAATCAAACTATTCATTTTTGGAGCAAGTCTTGTGTTGTCTTTAGTGTATGGGTTCTGCTACAGTATAAACCAGTGGTTTTCGTTCTGTTATAGTGTTTTTCTCTAATAAAAAATTTAAATTTTAAAAGTCATAATCAAGAACCCTAGTTTGAACCCATATACTAAACGGGCCCTTAATAGTTCATTTTTTATTCAAGCGATTTAGCTGAAAAGCTATGTCCCAATCCTGTCTTATGTCCATGTACATTTAAATAGCTCAAAGATGAAAAGCTGACATAATATGCCTAGTTTAATCAAGGGAGATGGCTAAAATGAAAATCCATGGATTGTCATTGTAACTGAAAAACAGGCATGCAGGAATATAAAGTCGAAGCACGATAGCAGAATTCAACGGTTACCATTCTTGGCAGCACGAGTTTTTATGGAAATTTTGATTTTTTAGCGTATGACAGTAATAGTTTTGTGAGATTTTGGATTCTAGTATAGAAGGTAACAGCTCAAATTTTTTAGTTTAGAAAATTTGAGGAAAGCTTTAACCAACTACCAGTAACATTGATTTCTTGAAAATTGGGTGGAAAAATGATAATATTAATAATGATAATGATAAAGATATTAGTTATTGAAATATGTTAGCATTTGTTTCATTTACAATATCTCTAGTCCACGAATATCAAAACAACTCTAGCATGATCACATCGCTAGGAAATAAAATTTAGACATGTTGAGGGGCCAAAGTTCCCCCCTATAATTATGCACATTTTGATTGATGTAATAAAAATAAAGGGAATGAAAAAAAAATAAAAAAGATTTACCTGATGAGATAGTAAATGATTAAGAAAGAAACCACAAAACACACAACGAGTTTACACGTTCCTCGGCTAGATTTTTTCGCAAATACCTGCAAAGCAACAATTTCACCACAATCCACCAACTTTCAGCAGCTGTGGAGAAGAAATTGAGATGAGACTAAAGACTAGATGGATCTAGTTTATTACCATCTTGAATCTATCCATGGTACCAGACATTACACCTCTTGATGCATCCATGTCATTCCCCTAGTTTTACAGCATAATCCAATCAAAACACAAACACAACAGCTTTCATATTTGAGAAAGATAAATAAATACTAAAAATAATAATAGTAATAATAAATTGAGTGAGACTCTCATACCATTCGGTCAAGGAAACGATTATGACTATCCACCTCATCGTGTATGTCATTTGTCAACTGTCAACAATGATTTAAGCAAATTATCAGCACGCAGTTACTTTCAAAAGGGAACGTTATAACTAAAGAATCCTTTCTTTAACAAGTAAGATATGAACTCAAGATCAATGCCAACAGAACTCAATCCTTTATGTACAATACATCAAATTGTGACCGCAACTCCAACTTCATTTTCAATAGCATATAACAATCTCTAGAAATTTTTCATATAAATGTATCCAAGAGAATGTTAGAGTTTATGCAGGAGCAGACACTATTGTTCATGTCCTCCCATACCAGTGAGTTGAACGGCTGCACATGTTCTTAAGACACCTCTTAACACATAGCAGCACTACTGGCTCCGCGTAGATTGGCCATTTGTACGTATTTTCCGAGGAAAAATGTCTGCTCCAGAAATTCAACTACCAGCATATTGGGATTTATACAAAGTTGAGGGAAAAAAAAAAAGAGTAACTCTCTGATAAACAGGAAACATAATAGCTCCAGCATTTGACCATGAAGGGCAACCCTAAAACAGAAAGCAAAGCCTCGACGCCCCAGACACCATAAAGAATGCAAGTTTTCAAGCAAGCTGCTTTTAACAATTTCATTTCTACCAATATTTGAATGTACTTATTTATAATGCTAGTGTGACACTCAAATGAACTAATGAAAAAGGAAATAATGGTCAGAGATATTTAACACTGTTCATATTCAGAAGAAGATAATGATTTTGCACTGAATCAAATAAGTACAACCACAAACATATGCTGGTACTTATAAAGAATGACTGACAATACATAATCAAGTGCTAAAGGATCTTCTAAGAAGAAACTCACTTGTTTTAGGAAAACAACTCTATCTTGCAAGCTTTCAACGGCTTTGTTGTTGTCATGCTCATTAATGTCATGAGAATACGATGAAGAAGCCCTAAGACTACCTTCCTCGAGGTCATTAAACAGCAATGTCTTGGAGGAACGGTGATCCCTGTAAAAAGGAAACAGGTTATCCACTCATTAGAAGGGCTTGTTTCATGAAATTATAACCACTAAACTTCCAAAGAGAAATCTTCTTAGCTTAAAATGATCAGAACACAAACTCAAGCAAACAAAGTTTCAGATGCCATACAAGAATCAGGATTTCCGAACTCCACTCCTGTTACAGGTATAATGGAAATCCGCTCTTTTCCTTTTCGGAAATGTTCATTTCAACAATTGACAACATAGCTCAATGCAAAACACCAACGTCATTCTGACCTTAGTTCTCCTACGGTGCTCCAAAATTACTAAATGGAACACCTCATCTACTCTTTCTCATAAATTCTGGGAATACTAATTTCAACTAATTTCAAAACAAACATATATAGCAAACTCAACTAATGAGAAAAATTAAAAACAAAGAATTTTAAGAACTTCACATCCTAATGTGTAACTTATATTCATCTAAAAAGACCGAATTTTCCTTATTTTATTGCTCCTCACGAATTCCGATTTGGAAATATCTCCCACAAACAATACAAATACGTAAAATTGGCTATTAAAAAAAATACATAATGCATGTGCCAAAATAGCATTTCCCTCATTAAATCGCCCAATTCTGGATTTCTACTCTAATTGCATAATTAAAACCTGAGTTCTTAACTAATCATAATCATGGGCTTTTCCGAATATTATTAATCTCCGAATCTCGTGTGGAAAACTAACCAAAAAAAAAAAAAGGAAAACAAAAATTGACACTGCTATTTCACCAAAAACGAAAATACGCATGATTCATCTTAAAATGAATCAGTGATGATGAACTCTGATGGCGCGAAATTGAAATAATTAAACAGAGAAACATAAAAATTTGTGAAATTCAGATCGTATGTTGATTGAATACAGTCGCACAAGTTTTACAGTGATGTAAGTATAGGTACCTTCTGTAATTCATTGCTCGTGAGATCAGACAGATTCAGCGTTGGTTTTCAACCTCAGAGAACTCCAATTTCGAAAATTGTCCGACAAAATGGTGCTGAGCAGAGAAATGATGAAAATTTTTGAATAGCTGTGGCACGTTTGGTTGCTGAGAAAGTGTGGGAAAGACATTTAATGATTTCTGGAAATTAAAAAACAAAAATCATAAAAATAAATAAATAAATGGGCTCGGGCCAATGTCAAGCCCTGAATGTAAAAGTCCAAGACCCACCCCTTTTTTTTTTTTTTTTTTTTTTTTTTTTTTTTTTTTTAAATATAGGATATGACTCTTTTTTTTAAGAGGAATTAAAGTTTAGCTTATTTTTTACAAATATCAACTATATGGCTTATTTTTCAGATTGCATTTTTTGACACCCCTAAAATACTCCTTTAAGATTTTGTTGTGTTTTTATGGGTACCTAACTAACTTTTATATTTTTCTTGTAATTAACTTGCTAAACAAAATAATCCACGTCTAGTTTTTTAATTGCTTTTAACACGTTAATCCATTACATCACATATAGTTTATAATTGTCGCTTCCTTGTTATTTTTAGTTTATATAGCAGGATGATTATGATAAATGGAAAACTCATATTTCTTGGTGTGTCCTACTTTTACATGTTAATGATATTGTTATTATAACGATATGTAATAATTTTGCTTCACATCAACTATTGTGATATGGTTTGAATATTTTTATACTTATATTGTCGTTGTTTTAATGAAATTGCGATTTTTACAAATATTGATTATCATATCAACTGCATAATTATGTTGCTAGTATTTTAATGACATGTAAACGTTAAATGCTATTAAGTTAATAATTATATTGTTAGTACTTTAATGTATTTAAATGATGAGTAGGGATGGCAATATTCCTTACGGGTACAGCCCCGCCCCGAACGGGATGGGGATTGGAACAAAATCTAGTTCCCGATTCATAGTGGGGTGGAGATGAGGAAAGTATTTTCCGTCCTACCTCTGCCCTCATATTAATGTGTAACCATGCAATACAAATTGAAGCTATTAGAAATAAACAAGAAAATATAATTTATGTTTATATTTTGATGTTTTTAAACTTTTTTTTTCTTATATGTTATTATTTTTGGATTCAGTTTGTAATATCTTAAGAATTTGATTTTTATCCTGAAACCTTTGATTTTGGTCTAAATTTAGAATGAATTTCTATTTTATTTTTATTTTAAGTTCTAATAATTTTGAAATGCATAATCTTATATGATGAGGAATAGGACGAGTATAGGGAAAGCTCCTCTAATAAAGAATCTCTGACTCCGACCTCATCCTTCTTTTTTCAGACATAGGGACAGGGATGATGATAGTTTAGAGTACTGAGAGAGGATGGGAAATCATCCTCCGCCTCCACCCCACCCCTTTGTCATCCCTGATGATGAGTACAAAATAATGATAATAATGTCATTAGTTGTGATTTGAAATGTTTAAAGAAGGTTAATAATTCCATAAATTGTGGGATACAATATCTAGACCATCTCGTATATATCATTATTATTAACGTTAAATACTAGTCTTCTATAAAATAAAATTTTAAACATTAACATCATTATTAAGGTTAACAATGTCATTAATGTCATGATACTCTATATTAAGTGATATATAGAATATTCATTAACTCGAGCCATATTTTAACTCAACAATTCTATTTGTGTCATAGGTCTCATTAACTCCTCCCTCCACCCCCTCCCTTTTTTTTTTTCTGAAGGTCAAACCCCATAGCTTTTAGCCCAACTGGGATGGTAGTGTTCTCATGAAATAACACTCAAAATAATAAAAATATATATATTACTTATACCACTCAATTAAAACATAAACAATTCTATATAATTAATAAAAAATAAATAAAAGATTGCGATAGCACTCAATAATTTAAAATAGCATAAATAACATGCTTGAACAAATTATGACAACACATGTACTTTTCTTGGGACTTTTTGTGATGGGAGTTTTCCTTTTTCTTTTTTTTCTTTTTCTTAATTGAGAAATGTGATGAGAATATTTTAGTATTCAATTTTGAATGCACGGGGTATAAGTTAAAAGTTGATAGAACATTCTCACATATAAGAATTGTTACAAATCTGATTGTCTGTCATCAACAACATATTTTTCGTTTCCTTCTTATTTCTATGCTAGTAGCTTAAAAAGTATATAAAAAATCATAATAATTGAGTTCCGCGGCACAATTAATTTCACTTCATTCAGTCCATAACTCTTTCTTTATGACGAGTGAAAACGCCGCGTAGTTCAAAGCAAAGAATCTAAAATAAACATTAAGAAAAAAAAATACTAAATACACTTTTGAGTGGTGCATGTATAAAATATGGGTAGTTCTCCGCAGGAAACAACGGCCAGATCTTGCTTGCTTAAACGTGGTGGTATAAAATCTTGTTCAGTTCGTTGATTTGTGTTTTTAATTTAAGTTTATATGTGATTTTATGTGAAAACTTTTTACTGTAACAGAAAAAATTAAATGTGACTTTTTATAAGAGTTTTTAACTGTAATAAAATTAAAATTAAAAATTTAATCAGTAAAATAAACGAAATCTAAATGGATTCCGTCAACTGTACCGGGGAGGGTGTGGCCATGTGATGGTGTGTTACAAAAGGCAATTGGATCAGGGAAGTCCCTACATATTGATCCAACAAAAATCAGTTGTTTCATTTTACAGTACAAAAGTTTGGTTGCTTCTGTTGGTGTTTAATTATGGATGCTCACTTATGACTGCAAAACCAATAATGGAAAGAGAAGTAGGGCGTCTTTGGTGTTCACATAGCTTCTTTAAGTCCAATGATGGCCAACTACATCCATGAAAAAAATTGAAGACCTCTTTAATGTCACACACTGAATAAAAAATGCCCTTTAGTGTGTGCCCATCAGTTTAATGCCCACATGGTCCATATTGATGGTGCCAATGCTGACATTATTGTGCACATCCCTCCATTAATATAATAATAATAATAATATTTTTAATTTTAACCCTTGTCTTCTGTAGTTATGGGTACTAATTACAAATGAAACACAGCATAAGTATTGAAAGGACAATGATGACACAAAGAAAGTTAAAACCCACAATTTCACCCTTCCATTCTTTAAGCAAGAAAATCTACAAAAGGGTTTAGAGGCATTTATGTAATAAATAATGCATGAATAATTTCAGACAGAAGTAAACCTTGCAAGCAAAAGTATCAGTTGGTATGTGTCGCCGCCGTATGTTGAATTAAACATAGATCAAGCTCTGTTCATTTTATCAATTCAAATTTAGAATTTAAGTTTTATTATAGTAAAAAACTCTAAGAAACAGTCACATCTAACTTTTTTATTATAATAAAAAACTCTCACATAAAGTCACATCTCAACTCGAATTTAAAATTCGAATCAGCGAACTAAACGGACCCGTATAACTAATCCAGATAGTGGGGAGTGGGGATATTAGGTCTTAAGCACTAAGAAAGAGAGAGAGAGAGAGCGCCACAAACACAAACACGCGATGTTCTAGCAATCAGACGGGCTCAAGCTCACGGTGGTCTGGCAAAATGTTGACTCAACAAATATGGCAACCTTCAATTATTGCCCATTATGCCGTGAAGCTTGCTGGTGTCAGGGGTTGAGGGGCAATACATTTACATCAGAAGCGTTGTAAATACATCAAATATAAAAAAAAATTTGCAAAGTAGCCCTGGGAAATAATAGACTCTAAATTCACAATTACCATAACCTGCTCAACCAATAAAAAGGGGAAAATAGTAAGGTTGACATATGGAGGGTTTAAATTATCTTTTTTCTTTAGCTACATCTTATACAAAAATCTAATATAGCTGTGTATGAGAACATGGAGGTACATAATTATTCTCCCCTCCTTAAATACCATTAACAGGGAAATCAATGGAAAACCCAGGAACAGAATTGAAAAAAAAAAAAAAAAAACCCCATCATATTTCAAATATGCATCACATGTGATTAGGCAATTATTCTCCCCTCCTTACACATACCATAAACAGGAAATCAATGGAAAAACCCTGGACAATACAATGAATTAAAAAGTCTGTTAAAGGAAATTTCATTTCCAAAGCATCTCATTGATTTTATGATTGATTTGGCAGCTACAATTACCAAATAAGAATATAAAACACTACAAATCGGAAACAATATAAGTTTTAGAGCATACTAGCCAATTCACAAAACAGTCATAACTGAGGAGTGCTTGTGATTTGCTGAGATAAATCATAAACATTGACACTATCATTTATATCTGACTTTGCATACAACTAACTATAAACTACAGATTATACATGAGCTGATAAACGTATATACAATTCTACAGAAGATAAAAATTATTTTTCATAAATAATTGGAACTGAGCACTCCTGAAGTCAAAGCTTCCCATACCTTGCAATTGAATTACATTAATCAACTGAAGTCTTCAGTGCGACAAAGCTCAGATATTCACATCCTGTTGAACTATCATCATCTATTTCTTCATGTAAGTATTGGGAAATAAGAAAAAGGAAAAAAAAATGCTTAACCACCATGTTTTCAGGAACTCCAACAAGAATGTTGTCAATCAACATAAGCAGCTCTGCATTGCAATTGCCACTCCATGCAGTCTTCGAAATCGAAGCTGCTCGCACAATCTAACAACGCGTTTTGCTGATGCTCGTAACGACATATATAATTCAAACCAACAAGAAGTTGGCATATGGCTGCCTCAGTCTTTTGGCGATCTGCAAAGTATAAAGTCTGAAGGAGAAGAACATTAGTGCGCGTAATGATTTGCTGCTGCTCGAAATTGCGCTCACTTTGCCATCTGATCATGTTATGCGCCAACGGGGCTAGCCACTTCAAAATGCCATCAAGGGTCTCTTTCCAATCGTGGGCAAGAGGCGCATCGTATATCGCCAAGTTTTTCACATAGGACTTGAGATTAGTCCTAAGTGACAATCTTAAGCTAGTTGGCAACATCTGATAAAGATCATCTCTAGCTTCCTCACCAACCAAATGAGGATAACGAAGCAACTTTTCGATCACAATTATAACATTTGCATAGTGCAAAGCTAGAGCAGAACCTCCAACAGTTGAAGGAGGAGCATAACAAACTAACCTACTCTTGGGACCGAACCTTGCACCATTTACAGCACCAGAATTGACGCCAATTTGTGATCTACTAAAGCAGCTAGAATGGTTCCTTTGCTCTCTCCTTGATCCACTATTTGTAATACTACAACAAGCAGAAACTTGGCTACCCCTTTCCTCATAATCGACACCATCATCTTCCAACTCCGAAACCGAACTGCTCAAACTAAGACACTCCATGAAAAGCCTCCCGGTGCTATTCCCACATGGGAAAACGAAATCCTCAGGTCGGAACATCCCCAATTCACCCTTCCTTGAATCACCAACTTGAGAAGGAGGCCTAACACTAGACCCCCTTTTCAGCACCACAGCCTTCTCAACTTTCCCCAAATGAAACTCACTCTTCTTGCTCAAAACCCTCTTCAACGGCAAAGACTCATCCTCCTTTCTCAACCTGAATTCCCCGAAAACCGCACAAATCCGTGCGTAAACCGTGCAAACTGTCCTCGCCAACAATTCGATGACCTTATCATAAGTCTGGTTCCAAAGCGAGATGTTCTTGAGATGCCTCACATCCTGCTTCTGCCAAATCAGTTTCTGCTCAAAAGCCCTCTTACTTTCCTCATGCTGGTTATGCTGAAACTTGTTGGTGGCCTGTTCCAACTCATTCAAAACCTCCATTTCGCTATACAAATTCGAAGTGGCATTCACAAACCTCTCCATTTTCCTCACCATTCCCTCCATATCCTTAACCAAAAACCCCAATTCTCTCACCTCAATAACCCCACCAACAATGTCACCATAAACATGCTCAAAACCTTGCAAGGCCGGCTCGGAACACTTCTTCCCCAGCCTTGACACAACAGAAGCGACCCTATTCAAGTCGTCAAGCTTCTCCGTGAGAACGAGCTCGAGGAGATACGACAGGTCGTTAGACACAAGGGTTTGGACTCCTTCGGAGTTGGAGATGTCGTTTTTGAGCTTGGAGATCTCGGAGTCCGTCAAAGACTTGTGGAGATAAACGGTTTTGGACATGACATTGGCGACTTCAAAAGAAAGAATACCAATTGTATTATTCTTGTTGTTGTTAAGGTTTTCTGAGTTTCTGGGGTTTTTCTTTTTGGACTGTTGGAGAAGAAAAGCGTGCTTGAGATTTGTGCTTACTTGGCTTCCCATCTTCACAATCCAAGGCTCAGCAACCATTGCTTCTTCAACAATGGCGGATGCTTATAACACCAAAAATAGACCAGGAGGGGAAAATAAGAACTGGGTTTTGGCCAACGACGAGAATTTTCCCGGATTTTCGAGAATTTAGACGCATCTGAGAAATACCCATCAGCCATTCGAGCAAAGAAAAATACCCATTAGTCCAAAATTAATTTTTGAAAAAAAAAAAAAGCAAGAAAAGAAATCATCATTGACATTGATGATAAGTGTGGTTACCTGGGCATGGGATTTGCGCCGACAAAAAGCACAAAGCAGAGAGAGAAGCTTCTTTTTCGCGTGCCAAAGGGTGAAGGAGAATGCGCAATGATCGATTGAAGATAAAAAAGAGCAAAACTTTTTCTTTTTTTCTCTTTTGTGGATGTGAGAAGCTCTTCGTTTTTATTTGTTTTTAGCCCAGTTGCTTGTTTGTTGTACTTTAGTAGAAGAAGAAGAAGAAGTTTGTAGTAGTGATGGCTTCAACTTCAAAATGGGGATCGGTATTTGAAAGTGGTCTGTGCGTCTGACTAGAGTGAGAGAAGATTTTTCAGAATTTTGAATGTATTAGGTTTTTTTTTTTTTTATTTTTTTTTTTATTTTTTATTTTTAGAGGAAGGGGGTTTTACAATTTTAAATACAATTTTGTTGTAAATGTATCTAATCATTTCATGGAACTAAATTTAAAATTTAAATTTGACTATAATAAAAAAATTTAAAAAATAATTACATTTAATTTTTTTATTATAATAAAAAATTTTTACATAAAATTACATTTTAATTTAAATTAATGGTAAAATTTGTTTTATAATTTTTCTTTCTCTTTTTTTCTTGGCGAGGTGTGTATTAATGTATTAAGGACTCATTTAATTTATTAATTTGAGATTTGTTTTATAATTTTTCTACTCATCTCTAATTTTACCAAACTGTCCTCCATTCATAGAGTATTATTATTTTGAGAGAAAAAAAATTAGCATAATTAGTGTAATAACCGCAAAGAAAAGAAAGTCAAACATTTTTTTTTTATGAAAAGGAAGGAAAGTGAAATTTAAATAATATAAAATAGGTTAATTACATTGCTTTTTTTGAATTTATCGGTGTTTGACGATTAGTATTCAAACATTTAACGGTGCAATTTACCTTCTAAATTAAAAAAGAATTTTAGTATGAACATATTGATTTGATTCTTATAATTTAAAACGAACGAAACTTATATATAAGTGTAATTTAAAAAAATTCTCTTATTGTATCCAACTAAAACTTCTTATAATATGAGTCGTTCGCCACACATGAGAGTGTTTTATCGTAGAATCTCGGGCCTCATTTATTTTACTGATTTGAGTTTAGAATTCGAATTTTATTACAGTAAAAATCTCTTAAAAATAGTCACATCTAATTTTTTTTATTATAGTAAAAAACTCTCATATAAAATCACATTTTAACTTAAATCAACAAACTAAATATGTTATAAAGATGAAATAAAATATTCAATTCAAATATACTTGGATTGGTATTGAAATAGTGGAGTGAGTAGTATGGTACTGGTGAACTGGTTAGAGGGCATTCATTGTAGATGGTTCAGGTCTACCTCTTTTTGTATTTTCTTTTTTATTGAAAGATACTTTCATTAGAAAAGGCCAAAACCGCTAGAGAACACCAGCAGGAGGCACCAAAAACCAGAACAAACCAGAAACAAACAGTAGCAACAGTGGAAAAACCAAAGAAAACAACCAAACCAACAAAAGAAACAGCAACAAAGGCAAAAAGACAACACCCAACAGAACAACCAAAAGCTCGAACCAGCACAAAGGACTAGAAAGTTTGGACTGCAAGCAAAGACTGAGGAAGAAACTGCCGAAGAATCAATCCTTCCACGAGACTTGGTAGAACTCGTATCATGACCGGAACAAAACGGGCAGCATACAGAATCCACATGAAACCTCTGGCCCAACACAACACGCACAGGCAAAATATCCCAGATCAACTGCCACCAAATTCAGTTTCCGGACCTTGTATCAGACCACATCCAACTATCAGGACCCGGCACACAGGGCAGCGCAATACGGCAGATTTTATCAACATCAGATCACCAGGAAGAATAAAAGTCCGCCACCGTGAAAGGACCCATCAGATTTCAATACGCGACATGATTGATCTCCAAACCACCTATAGAGATAGCCACCCCTTTTAAATCTCCCGGAATCAGCTTCCCTCTGAAGTAAACGAGACAAAACGACGCTGCACAACACAAATAAATAAGGGGAAAGCGGATCACCCTGGCGGATACCTCTCGAATTCTAGAGAAAGAAGTGGTTTTTGACTTGAAACCAGAAACGACATGCTTTGTGTAATAGCACCCTGACCTATCCTCAACTCAAACAGTACAATTTTGCCACTGTTTGTTTGGACAACTCACACTGTTCGACAAGATTCAAACATTTGTTCAGAATTCAAATATGTGTTTAAGAATATTGAAGCACAATTTAAACATTAAAAATGTTTAAACTCTTGATTTTTAGAATTTACAACCCTTTAAATTCTAATAATTTGAATTGTTGTAAACAGTTCAATAATTTAAAATTTTATTTTTTCTCTATTTAATTTCAATCTTTAAAAATGTTATAACTTTTTTATTTTAATTTCGATTAAGATGTTTTTTTTAATGTGTTCATATTGATAGTTTTCAATATTTTATTTAAACACAGTTCGGATTTTACTTTTAATTTAAATTACAATTTATTTATATATCTAAATACCGATTTGAATCATAATTAAATCATTACAATTCAGATTCTACAATTCTAACTAAAAAGTTTAAATATCCACATTTTAGTTGTTGAACCCAAAAAAAAAACCCTTTATAAATCCAATTGTGCATATTTCACATGCATATTTAAAGTAAAAAGTTAATATATAATTATGTGCATTAGTCACAAGGTGTGCAATTTACAATTGGGAACTTAGTCCAAAAAACTCTAAAAACTTAAAGATTTTTTCTATCTTTCCCAAAGAAAAATGATACTAGTGTCAAATTGTAGGTAAGCTGTAAAATCTGGGGGATTCCAAAGTCAATATTTGCATATCTTGCAGAAATTCAAGTCCAACTTCTATTGGAGAAAAGTTCAAAATGGTTTTCTGCTGACCCTGGATATTCTCTGTCCTAGTAAAAGCTTCTATGCAAAGTTCAATATTAACGGGTCCTTTTTTCTTGTAATTTAATTAAAATTAAAAAATCATTTTTCCAAAATTGTCATTTTGCTTGCATAATGGACAAAAAGATTAATCTGATTTTAGGTGTTACCCGCTCCTCTCTATAATCTATATTAGTCTGATATTGCCTCTTGCCTTAAAATATATACATATACATATACATATACATACATATAAATATATATTGGGTGTGTTGGAACTTTTCCATCTATGATTTCCTTTATTTTATTTTATTTTATTTTATCATTTATCTCTATCCTTTTTTGTTTTTACTTTTTGTCCCTTTATCATCATAGGAAAAAAGATAAGAAGCTGATAGCCCGTTTATTTTACCGATTCGAGTTTTATTATAGTAAAAAGTTCTTAGAAACAGTAACATTTAATTTTTTTACTACAGTAAAAAACTTTCACATAAAGTCACATATCAACTCAAATCAACGAATTAAACGGATCATGAGTAGGGCTTCAAATATTGGAATACTTTAATAAGATGATGTGAAAGAAAAGAAGGAATGCAACAGAACTCCCTTATCTAATTCAAATGTCTAGCTTGCAGTGTGTGACTTTGGATTACATTTGTCATTAGAATGAGAAAAATATATTAATGAATGTGATCTAACCAAACTAATTAGGGGGTTATTTTGTCAAAAAAGTTTAATATAGTGGGAGTTGGTAGATTGTTTTTATTTGGGACGTTACTCTTACTTGAGGGCTATGACCACAGCCCACATGGGACATTCATCCTACAAAAGAGCAAACAAATAATGACAAAGGGAAAGATGGCCAACCAATACCTCTCGAGCTTTGCACTAATAATTATTGGGTTTGGTTCATCATTGAAACAAACTTTGTTGGGTTTTTATTTTCCTTTTTCTTTTTCCTCAAAAATAGCTCATCACTGTATCTGATAGTGATTTTTACATTGCCCATATATGAATTGAAGAACTAGGCATGCCTCGTGCTTAATTGGTATAAATAGAGTCTCGAACATGTGAACGTTTTGGTTGACTAATTTGGAGTTTTTTCTCCCCATCTTTTATTTGTTTTTGCATTCTTGCATCTTGACAAGTACTAGTCATCGTGTTTAGTTGTATTTTATTGTCTTTCTCACACACCCATGTAAATCATAGGACACTTCAACCATCTCTTGTAACTAAAAGCATACCTTAAACTATATATGAAATAATAAAATGGTATCACACACGCATGTGATGTACAATTCTCAACTGTTAGATTTAAATTGAATGACAATTATTATGTATTTATTAATCTTATAAAAGTTTGATCATGTGATCTGATTGTTTTAAATTGTGTTATTTTAATATGATTTTTTTTTAATATACGGGAGAATTCTCATTACAATAATCAATACTTATTTGTAAACCCTTTTAATATTTATTTACTTAATTGGTAATTGCAAAGTCTTTACTTGTGCTACATCACAATGATTGAGTTCCCACATAATCTTTCAAAAATCTAAGACCCATCTTGCATAAAAGGGTTCTCGAATAATTCCTTCTTTAATGATGTCAAAGTCATCTCCATTTGCGACTCGCAATAAACATGGCAAGGATTCATGTGGAAGCAGTAGAATCAAAGGCTATGAAAACCCCACGTTCCTACCACTTTGATATAGATCGAGTCGAGTATAGGGCTGAAGAATGTAGTGCCCGTCCGCAAGGCAATTTTGTCAACAAGGGCGTGCTTGTGCAATTTACACTTACATATATATATATATATATAGGATATGTGTGTGTATGTATGTATATATATATATATGAGCTTCTATGCCTTCCCAACAGCACATATATATATATATATATATATATGAGCTTCTATGCCTTCCCAACAGCACATATTGTTAGCAGTTTTCAAACTTGGGATATAATGGATTTGTACTTTTGTCCATAAAGAAAGTGCGTAAAATGTCCAAAAGAGCTTTTAGGACCACGATTTCCTAATTTTCCCTATCATTTGTGCACCTTTACTTTGCCCATCATTTTGGACGTTTTCTTTGACCCATTATCTACATGCCCTTTTGTTGTCCCAAATCTTATTAAACGATGCATTACAATGAGAAAACTCTATACTAATGGAATCTTCTTTGAATTGACTTGTCTTTTATCCTTTCTTACAAAAGCTAATCCATCTCTTGGCCAAAAGCAAAAACAGACACACTGAAAAGAGAAATTGATCTTTCTTTATTGTCAAAAATTCCACAGTTCAATCCATACCAAAATTCAACCCAAACCACATGTAAGTAGAAATAAATTCAATATGAAAACTAAAATGGCGACCATAT